ATTAAGTATACTTTTAAGTTTAATTTTAAATAAAAATGAAATTTAAATTTTAAAATAATAATTATTTATTAGTATATTAAATTTAATAGATTTTTATGTAAATAATGAATTAATATTATATTAAAAAAATATTAAAAAATTTAATTTAAGTTCAAATATATTTAAAAATAGATGTACCCTACCCAATCTAAGTTGTACATGGATAGGTGTGAGTATATCATTGTAATTTAAGACTGGAAATAACCCAACTTAATAAATTCGACTATCCAATCTAAAGCTACAACTTAATTAGTTTCGTTTAATATAATTATGATTTTAAAGTTTTGAATTTAATTTTCAAAGATTTAGAAATCTTAAAATAAAATTAAAACTTTTTATAAATTAATTAAGTTTAGAGTTTTCGTATGATTATTTAAAAAATTTATAATTAATAAGTTAAAAATTTTAATTTTAATTATTAAAAATTTAAAAACTAAACCCAAAAATAAAAATTATAATCATATTACACGAAGCCTATATCTACTGCTTACATGGTGGTTCTCTGAAATTAGGACATAGTTTATGCTAAGGCTATGGTTAAGTACATCAATTTTATTTATAATTTTATTAGTTTAATTTTTTTAAACAATTAAATATGATATTTAAAAATATTTATTTATAAATTAAATTAAATTTATTAAATAATAAATATTAATTATGTTTATTAATATTAACTATTTTTATAATAATTAAATTAAAATAAAAATTTTACAATTTAAATGAGATTAATTAACAAAATTAATGGCGGCGGTAACCATGTGTCATGGTTTGCTTTTCACGTGGAATACCACTGCCGGCTTCAAATTAAAATTAAAAGGATGGGGGTTTTCCTCCATAGGGTTTATCTCCAGGCATAGGAGTTCCTTCATCTCTCTTTTCTTCTTACTACTCCCTTCCTCCTCTAGATCTCTTCCTTCCTCTTGTCCTTGTGTTGCTTTGGAAACTCCAACCCAAGGGACCATAAGGTAGCGGCTTTTTGGGTTTTTTAGGGTTTACACTTGTTGATTTTTGAAGGCTAGGATTAGCATTGATCTTGTCAGTGAAGTGGGTTTCTCCTATTTAACGGGCAAGAATCTCGCTTTGGTGCATCTCCTTGGATGGGATCTTGGCGGGGGTTGAATTCGATGAATTTGGTTCACACCAGTTCTCAATCAACTAGCCGATTGCCAAAGCAAAGGGATGCTGTTGGTAAGGCCGATTATGGTTTACGTGGGAAGCCTGATTTTCAAGTCGACAAAGGGGCTTTAGTTCTCCTAATGAGTTTCGACAGCATGAGTTTGAAGAGGATCGATAAAGATGGGAACATGATTGGGAGTATATGAAGGCGACTGTGGGGCCTTGTGCTTGTTAGTAAAAGGCCCATACCCTTCTTGGTTGTTCTTCTTTAAGAACAAGTAGGGCGACAACTTGTCGGTTGGGGACTATTTGTTGTTGGAATCCCTTGCTCTCCCCAAGAAGTTGGTTAAATAGGTAATGCTCATAGTGATTCTCCTTTCTATATTAGTTATTTATATCTGTCATGAGTATAGTTTAAGTCTATTACTAGTGTTGTAGGTTATGCTTATACTTTTGTCATTAAGTTATTTTGATTTTGGCTATATACCATAAGATGAAGATTCTGTTGTAATTTCTTATTACTTAATATATTTTTTTATTTCCCATAAAAAAAGGTTAAAACCCCATTTTGGTCCCTAAACTATTTATGGACCCCTGATTTGGTCCCTAAACTAAAAAAATCCTTGATTTGGTCCCTATTGTTTACCATTTTGACCCCAATTTGGTCTTTCCGTTAAATATCCACTGTTAACTCACAGTGAGTTAATGACATAGCAAAAATTTTAGACACGTCAAATCAAAATGATGACATGGCAACATAACAGGTTATATTCATGCCATATAACCCACTAAAATTACAATTTTACCTTCATCTTCTTCCTCTAGCATCCTCTTTCTCAAATCTTCTTCATTCATCCTTCTTTTTCCCTCTTTTTGCCTCCTCCGAGACAACTTTTATCACTATTTTTTTGAGTCAAACAATTAATTCAATGAAATAGAATTCCATTCTTCATCAATCAATTCTTTTTCATCATCAAATAACAAAACCCAAAAAAAAAAA